CCACTGACCAAGATAAGTTGCACAAGTGTTGCAGCATATGCGTGGGGTCCACCTCTTGTCCGGATCTCCAATTTTGCAGCCAAAATAAAGGTGATGGCTTTCTTAACCATAGTGGTTATACTGCACTTTTGTGATGCAAAAGTCACTTCACCACAAACCTAGCAGAAGTTATCTGCACTGTTCACACAAGTATGAGGCATCTCTGTTCACTTTGGCTAAACAGAAATGTGTCCCTTTGCAAAATCAAACACTGACAAATAAGAGAGCACGACACTGGATGATTTCTAGAGCTGATATAGGGCAATTTGTTCAGCAGAGTGATGAAAGCTTCGTTATGATTGCATCATCCATGACTTCTAGGAATAACATGATGCAATTCATATCATGTATGATGCAATACCAGCTTCAGATTGCATCATTCATTGTTTTGGCTAAAAAGCAAGTACTGTCCAAACCCAGTCATAGATTTATTCATAGATCTAGTCAAGGATGTATTTTAGTCATTTCTGGTTTAAATTGAGGTCCCTTCCCTTTATAACTCACTTATCCTCCGCCATTCCCAAGTCAAGGGTCGTATATACTGACCCCATAGCATATCTTGAAAACTAGAGCCAATCAACAGTTTTAAGAATCATTTTCGTTCTCAGTGACCCAGAATTAGTAAAGTTTGACTACATTTATTTCAGAATCATTTTGGCTGTAGAGCAGTGATATCAGATAATTACTAAATACTAATAATACATTATAAACATTTTCTTTTATATGTATAAAATAGTGTTGTTCCTACTTCTGGCTCTGGGCATCTCTCTACAGATTCATTGACCTTAAGGCCAGACCTTTGGCTGAGTAACTGAAGTCCTCAAATCATGATTTAAAGACTCCATGTTATGAAGAATCCATCATTTGCACTAGTTAAAACCCGTCCCATGCTGCAGAGGAAGACAAGAAATCCCAGGGTCTCTGCCAATCTGATAGGGGAAAATTCCTTCCCAATCCCAAATATGGCAGTCAGTTTGTTGCTGAGCATTTCAGCAAAACAAAACAGTCAGAAACCAGGAAAGAATTCTCTGTAGTAACTCAGAGCCCTCCCCATTTAGTATCCCATCACCGGCCATTGGGGATATTTGACACTAGCTATGGCCAGCTTTAGGCCGATTCCCCTGAATCGGGCCCCGTGCCTAAGAGGGCCCCGTGCGCAGTGGTGAGCTGGAGTCAGTTCCCAAGCTCCGGCAGCTGTCTGCCCCACCCCCAGCCCCAGCTCACCTTCCTTTCCTCCCCTGAACACTCCGCCCCCCTTCTCCTCCCCCTCCCCTGCTTACCTCGAATCAGATGTTCATGCGGGAGGCCTGGAAACAAGCAGCAGCAGGTAAGCTTGGGCAGGGGGGCGTGAGGAGCACTCCAGGGAGGCGCGGCCCGCGGCCCAGTCCGGCTCCGGCCGAGAGGCTCTGGCCTGGCCCTGGCCCGGACTCTGGCCGGGCAGCGAGGCTCCGGCTCCGGGTGGCACAGCTCCGGCCCCGGCCAGGTGGTGCGGCTCCGGCCCAGGCCCCGGGCCCGGCCCAGCTCCGGCAGGGGTAAGTGGCATGGTAAGAGGCCGGGTCCGGGGGTGGGTTGGATAAGGCAGGGGCAGGGAGTCCCGGGGACAGGGAGTGGGTAGGGGGGGTTGGATCGGGCAGAGGTTCTGGGGGGGTGGTCAGGGGATGGGGAATGGGGAGGGTTGGGTAGGCGTGGGAGTTCTGGGGGTCTGTCGGGTTGGTGGTGGATGGGGTCGGGGCAGTCAGGGGACAGGGAGCAGGGCGAGTTGGGTAGGGGGTGGGGTACTGGGGGGCAGTTAGGTTAGGGGGTCTTGGGAAGGAGTGGTCGGGGACAAGGAGCGGGCGGGGGTTGATGGGTTGCAGTTTCTGAGGGGTGCAGTCAGGGGCAGGACATGGGGGGGTGGATGGGGAGGGGGATGTACTCACCAGGTGGTTCCCTACCGGGTCTTCAGCGGCAGGTCCTTCAGTGCCGTGGAAGACCCGGAGCGAAGACCCAGAGCATCGCCGGGTAAGTCATCCCTGCTGGGGCCCCGTCAAATCGGGCCCCGCACTTCCTAAAGCCATCCCTGCCACTAGCAGTTACAGATCAGCTATATACCTTTCTAGGCAGTCTATCATCCCATCCCATCCATAAACTTACCAAGCGCAGTCTTGAAGCCAGTTTTGTTACCCCGGGTTCTTTCAACCCAAAGCTCTTGGTAACTTTTACTCTGTGTGAGGTGGTGTCAGGAAATAAATCAAGGGAGACATGACTGTCTGACCAATAGATGGCTGGCACAAACAGGGCAACACAAAAGTGCTTTCACTTAAAGGTAAACTTTACTTAGTCTCAAGCACTTACACACATCTGCAACAGGTTAGTAAAACACCCCAACCCTTGATAATTACCGAAGCTGAGTGTGGCTCTCGAGTGGCACAGCGACAGTCTTCCGATGGCAAATCTTCCATCTGCCGGTGGGGACCACAAGGTGCATCCAGAGTGAGAGTCCCTTTACAGTCCTTCCTGGAGAGTCCAACTACCTAAATTGTTTCCCTCTTATTTATACATTAGTTAATACAATGACATTTCACTTAAAGAAAACTTGTTAAGCACACAGTTTCAAGCAAGAGGTTTCCTTTTGATCATCAATTAACCAGATGTGTTTTTTTTCCAGAGTTTGAATACCTTGAGGCCCTGACAGACACATTCCTGGGGGCACATATAGACAAGCTTCCTGTTTTTCTAAAATGCATACATCAGCAGTTTTAACACAATTCTTATCAGTTAGGATGTGGGGTCAAGCTGCCCTTTCTGTGGCACCCAAAACCCCCTCCCCTCCTGCCTTGGTTATGCTAAGGCTGCTGCATGGCCAATTTATGGCCTGCTGACTTGACTACCTTTAGCAATAAGCCATAGTGGTTTCAGGCACTTTACTGGTTTGCCAAAATCTTCCCATACAGTTGCCCCCAGTGCACCCCTTGGAAGCTGTTCCAGAACTTCACTCCTCTGATGGTTAGAATCCTTCATCTAATTTAAAGCCTAAATTTATTGATGGCCAGTTTATATCCATTTGTTCTTGTGTCAACATTGATGTTTAGCTGTTAACCTAAATAACTTCTCTCCCTCCCTGGTATTTATAGAGAGCAATCATATCTCCCCACAGCCTTTGTTTGGTTAGACTAAACAAGCCAAGCTCTTCGAATCTCCTCTGCATAAGGTTTTCATAGACTCATAGACTTTAAGGTCAGAAGGGACCATTATGATCATCCAGTATGACCTCCTGCACAACGCAGGCCACAGAATCTCACACACCCACTCCTGTAACAAACCCCTAGCCTATGTCTGAGTTATTGAAGTCCTCAAATCGTGTTTTAAAAACCTCAAGGTGCAGAGAATCCTCCAGCAGGTGACCCATGCCCCACGCCGCAGAGGAAGGTGAAAAACCTCCAGGTTTCCTCCAATCTGCCCTGGAGGAAAATTCCTTCCCAACCCCAAATATGGTGATCAGCTAAACCCTGAGCATGTGGGCAAGACTCAGCAGCCAGCACCCAGGAAAGAATTCTCTGTAGTAACTCAGATCCCACCCCATCTAACATCTTTCCATTCCTCAGATCATCCTAGTAGCCCTTCTCTGCACTTGTTCCAATTTGAATTCATCTTTCCTAAACATAGGAAACCAGAATTGCACACAGTACTCCAGATGACCTTGTATAGTGATACTCTACTGGAAATACCTCGCCTTATTTAGAAAGTATACACTAAAGCAGTGCAAATAGAATAAAATACACAAGATACACAGAATACACAGACTATACAGCAGTTACAATGTAATACTTAAGATACATAGAGACCCTTCATACATACATATAAAGCCTTACTACAATACTGTAATAAACCTCTTGCAATGTAAGATGCAAAACTTCTATACATATGTATAAATGAACACTATAACATTACACATCAATGAAGCATCTACTATTTAACACTGACATCCTGTGAGCGCTGACCAGAAGATCACAGAATGGGTGGGGTGGATTGCACTTAAGCACAGGTATGCAGCTTTATTTACAGGCACACCCAAACATTCTAAAAAACGAACAGAAAATCAGACTTACACTCTGTCTTCTTGAGTCATCTGTACCATCCAGGTCCTTTTGATCTGTCTACTGCTCTCCTGTGTCTGCTTTCCTCTTTTCATTGCTGGTGCTACTCTTCTGTCTGTACTCTGTTGTCTTCTTGCTCTGCTGTCTTCCTCTGCTGCTATCTTCTTTGCTTCCTTGCACCCACACACAAGCTTGCTGGCTGTCAGCCTTATATTCAGTTTCTGCCCTTCTCAGATTGGTTGCTCTCTCAAGTTCAATGATGAGCATGGATCCTTCCTGTGTTGGTGGCAACTGCTCAGCCAAATAATCTTGCCTGTCACTCGAGCTGAACCTCCTTCTTACCCCTCCCTTCAGGTATTTTGGAGTGAGCTGAGTCATACCCGATGAACTTTATTTCACCCCTATTTCTTATCTGTTATTGGTTGATTTGATCTGAGTCCTCCATTTTGCATTTTCAGCTCTGAACTATCATTATAGACCTCCTGAGGTCTCTTCCAACCCTAATCTTCTATGATTCTATGTGAGGTAAGGGTTAAGTGTGGGCTGAGGGAACCATGAAGGAGCATCTGGGACTCTGACTAAGGAGGTCAGATGGACAGAGAGAGATGGAGCTTGAACAATGGGGTTCACTACAGCATGGGTGGGCTGTGAGCTAACCAGAATGGACTATGCTTTAACCTTCATTTCTCCATGCTGACGTAAGGACTTTCTATGCTGTGTTACACTTGACTAATAAACTCTTCAGTTTCAGCAATACTGTGTAAGTGTCCATGCAAATGCTTGTGGAGGTATGTTGTTCCCTGGAGAATGTACAAGTCTCCTTCAGGAGTTTGCCTCAGATGCCCGCGCTGAAAGTAGATGACAGTATGAAGCAGCAATGCTGAAGACCCAAAGGAACAGTCTAAGGAGGCCATGAAGAAGTGGGGTTTACCCTTGAGGAAGAGTGAGACACCTAAGGGGTCTGGTACACTAGAGGGGTCCCTTCTAGAGACTGTTCCAAAGCTGGGGCCATAGCACCGATCTTGTGCATCCATGACAAGGAGTCCTTGGCTATAGCCTTGCTCACCCCATATCAGGAGTTATGTTGCAAGGGAGCACACTTCTCAATACTACTGTGCAGTGTATGGGGGGGGAGGGGGGATCTGTATGGACCATTGATGCCGCATTGCACGCTACTTCAGATGTTCTTTATGTCTACAATCTGGTGCTTGCTAGGTTCAGTTGGGAAAGGGGAGACAGATCCTGCACTTGATGAAGTTATGTGCTTCTCTGAGGAAGTATAGGTACCTTCTGGTTGTTGGTTGTTGCTGACCAGGAAGGACCTAGGGAGGAGATACAGTTTTTGAAGCCTGAAATCTGGTAGGGGACCTGGAAGGGCTTGTGAAATGTAGCTAACTAAACTAGACTAAATTAAACTAACTAAACTAGTCTCTATACTATATTTCAACTTCTAATCTGTAAATATTGTAAAAATATTTAGAGATTAGAAGTTGAAGTTTCAGTTCCATGGACACTGAAAAGATTCTGTCACAGACCGTGTAGCTGAAAAAAGGAACTGGAGAGGTGGCCAGTCTACACTGCCTCTCACATCCTAGGTTCTGAGAAGGAGGGAAGGAAGAGTGCAGGAGTGGAATAGCAAAAATCTTTTGGTATCACCTGTATGAATCACATGCACACCTGCAGTGGAATGCACAGAGGGACCAGCACTTGAAGAAGACTAGGTATTTTAGTTCAAAGATCTTGCTGTACTTTCCAAAGTTACTTAACAATTATTACTCTCATTTTACAAATTGGGAAGAGGTATAGTTAGGTTGAGAGACTTGCATAAGCTCGCATAAGGAGATAGTGGCAAAGTCAGGAATGAAACACAGAACCTGACTGGAACACAAAAGTTCCTTTACACCATTTTATTGTAAGGGGATGTTAAGTGGGTGTAAATAATTGCAAATGAGAATCAAGTTCGGAACACTAGACAAAACTCCTTCTACTTAGACGCAACATTCTTTACATAAATAACTGGGTTGTGACACACAAATTATCTCAGTATAATGCACAAAATAATAAAAGAGCACTAGGAAATCTGATGGTATAAATACATACAATATAACTTAATAACCTTTCTCAGTTTCTATGATGTTGTATTTGTACCAACATTTTTAAATCAATAATTTTCTAGCACACAACACTAATATTTTTAAAGGCAAAGCATTTTTTTTCCCTATTTTTCCTAATTTACCTTGTGGAACAAATCAGTAATTATATATGCATAAGTGTCTACAAGAAAAACAAAGAAGATATTTTTAACCATGTTTTTGCTAGACACATAGCATGTTGCATAGAGAACAGAAATGATCAAATATGGTGTCCCCTATAATCATTTGCCAAATTGGCATAGTGGATCCTCCCCCTCACTTGGAGGGAGCCTTTAGTTTTGGGCAGGCCTAATCCTGCCCATCCCTGTACCCTCAATAGGTATACCATATACTAAAGTCCTGAGAAAAAGGTGAAATGTGATGTTAAAAAATACTATAATCCAAAACAGACCAATCATAAAAAAAGAATCATGCTTCAACATTCTAACCTTTATAATGTCAAAGGAAACCCCTTAGTAAATCCTTTTTTCCATATCCTATACAAACTTTTTTTTCCTTAAACTGAGCCATTTTTTAACCCAGCTTACTCATAGCTCTATGTGAGATCTACAAAATAAGCCAAGTTTGAACAAAATTTGTTCAGTTGTGTTTGAGTTATGCATGTGCAAAATTTGAGATCAGAATACGATGGAAACTCATATGCAAAACTCAAAGATGGCTGAATGCATTTTACTGAAACTTTCAAAAAATAAATGTGTGGAATAGACCAAAAATAAAAGTTTGACCAAAAGGAATTTATTTGAAAATTTAGGAACAACTAAAAATGAAATTTACAATGGAAGTTGTATTTCAATCTAAATTATTTGTATAGTGATAGTGCTGAGAGGCCAATATCAGGTCTTAGGGTCTCATTGCACTTGGTTTCCCAGTCCAAATATATTACAATTTCCATATATGTTGAGACACAATATGTGGATATAATAAGTAGACAGGGGAGCACAAGGCAACACTAAGAGGACAATGATTATTGCATTAAGCAACAATCAAATTGTAAAGTATATTGAGCTAAAGTTCCTATGATGGGGCTCCGCCACCAAGGTGCAGATTTCTCTGTGGTGGAGTGTGGCAGCTATTATAATAGCACCAGCACACAGAAATTAAGGAGAGGAATATATGAGAGTTTAATTGTAAGTGACAGTATCTATGACCTTAGAACATATAAAACAACGCATGGTAGGGTTTGTATGCCTGGTCTTGTAGTTGCGGTGCTGGGTTATCACTTAATTAAAGCTGAATTCAATTCCTAGATCTCCACAGATGTAGTGACCTGGGGTGAGTCACTTTGGTGTAGAAAAAGATAATTCCCTTTTGCAGAGGATTTGGATAGTTTGTAATCTTTTTTTTCCCTCTCAATTTGGAATGAAAACCAAAAATTTAGAAATTCTCCATGAATTTGCTCCATGGCTCTGGAGCAGTCTTCCTAGAAGGCTACCAAGGAGCAGGGCAGGAGCCCTGGTGGGAAGCCAGGCAGGAGCCCAACAGAAACCTGCCTGCCTGGGTTTTGTCAGAAATTAATTGAAATTGAACTATCTCTGCAAAATGCTCTTGACAACTTGGAAAACTTATTTTGGTGGAATTTTTCTGCCCAGCTCTACTTAGCCCCCAATTCATAAGCATTCACAAGCATAATTACATGCTCAAGTCCTGATGAAGTCAATGAATCTGTATCTTAGTTCTCTGTCTGAAAGCAGAAATTAATTAATGTAAATGAGGTGCTGAGATACTCTGGTGACCACATAAAATCTAGACAGACTCAGTGCACATAGGGGAACCTGCATTCTTGGATGCAAGCTTGGGATGTGCCCAGGGGAAAGTTCCACCATGAAAGTGTTTCCATAGGGTCAGGTCTATTTGACCATCAGTGGGGGGAAAGTCCCAGAAAATGGTCCTCACACAGAAATAATGTTATCCTACCATCTGAGAAGGGGAGAGTGTAACAGGGTCCCCGGGGTGCAACTTGGACTGTGGGACTGCTAAGCCCAAAAACCTGGGCTGCCTCTCACACTGTGATACTAATGTCAAGCTACACATCTCTGACAGGCACTGCACTTATACAGCTATCCACAGGCAGGGACACACCCAACTTAGTTACAAGAATGATCTCCCAGCAACTCATGAACCATCAATAGAGAGGCTCCAATCAATTCCACTCTCTACCCCCATGCCCCCTCAGCTCTTCAGCCTTGCATCCCAGAAATATACTGTCTTGCACTGCTCAAGGTTCCCTTGGACAGTGCAAACTCATCAATAAGTTCACCACTTCTTCACAGGAAAGTGGACATGCACCAGCCTTTGGAACCTCAGCTGAGATTCCTTTAGCACTTCAACCAAAACCACACTGTTTTGGGTAAAATGTAAAACAGGTTTATTAACTACAGAATGATAGATGTTAAGTGATTGTAAGTAGCAGGCACAGAAATCAAAACTGATTACCTAAAAAATAAAATAATTTTGCAGTCCAAATTCTAACTTAAACAGACTAAGCAAGATTTGGATCAAGCAGTGTTTCACCCTAACAGATGGTACAAGCAGCTTACAGTTCCTCAGTATACAGACTGGACCACTTTCCGGCCTGGGACCAGTCTTCCCCAATTCAAAGTCTTTGTCTTCCAGACGTAATTCCAGGTGTTGAGATGGAGTGGAGGGAGAGAAAGAGACCAAGTGATGATGCCACGTTCCCTCTTTTATACTTTCTTCAAGCTGGTAGAAAGATCCTTGCTGTGACGTGGCTTAGTCTGCCCTCATATTGTACATGCTTTCTCCGAGAGGTCTCTGGGATAGTGGATTGGGTGTTGATGATCCATTAACACCAGTCTGGCCAGTGATGGGAACTCCTTTTTTGTAACTGAAAGGCTGGTTGTGGGCATTCCCAACCTCACAACATATTTCAGTAACATATATAGAAATATTTCATAACTTCACATACAATGATAGTATGTATAAACCAAAAGAATATTAATGGTCATCAGATTAAGACTTTTAAAATGATATTTCACAAGGCATACTTTGTACAAAACATCATAATTATATTATAGTGGTGACTATGGGGATTCCAGGGCGCTACTTTGAGGTACAGAGTGTCAAGAGGGGCCACTACCAGACTGGATTCACTGATTACACAGGACAACTTAAAAAGAAGAAAGTTGGAGTGAGGTCAAATGTTCAGCAAAAGGAGTGGTGGAGGCAGGTAGAGTAGGATTGTCAGAGAAACTCTG